CATGGGCTTGTATGAGATTTTGACAGTATGATAACCTTAAGCAAAAATTTCACGGTATTGTCGTTACAGCTCTAAAATGTGCTATGTTTTAAATGACTGGGTAAAAAATAAAACTTTTTGTCCGCTGAACACAATATATTTTGTTTTTGAGCAACATACAGAATATTAGGAACAGTAGACTTTCTTTTATTTTTTCTTTGATTTGTTTCCTAAAAAGAAGAAAAATAAAGACATCTTTATTTAACCTAAATCTGTAGCTGGTTGCCGATCGCGTAAGTTCCAAAGCAAGCTCCTTCGGCCATCATAAACACACGTGACTGACCGCTCGCTCGCACCAACAGGAGGAGGAGGGTCGTGTTACTCTCTACACTGCACTCAACCTGAGGGATTCCTACACTTTCAGTCTTTGAGAAAACATGAAAAACAGCACATACCGCAGGAACGGCATAACGGAAAATATTAGCGGTTTTGAAACAGTGACGTTTTCATATCGCGGTATACCTTGAAACCGGTAATTGGCCCATGCCTAGTCTGGGCATGTCATTGTGTTCATATACAATATATAAAAATATAATTTTTTTTATCCTTTTTTTTTTTTTGTAAACATCACTTGATCACTTTCTTTCTGTTGATTTGGATAGATTTTAATACACAAGCAATTCATGGGCTGCATTTACACTGGCACTGAGCCACTTCCAAATGTGGTTTTAAATCAGATGCTTATCCATTATCTGGACATCCAACCTACATCTAAACACACTTATCTGATTCCCCACAGATCTCCCAATGCGAGGGTGACATGTTTGCCCATAAAGATTGTTTTAATGCTGGTGTGCTGTTTGCGCTCGCATTTTATTCGTTCAGTCAGATTTTGTGCTGCAAAGCATCCATGACAGCCGTAGATGTTGGCAAATAATAACAGCCACTCGACGTGAATTGTATAAATAATTTTAATCGCCATTCAAAACCAGAGGGTCTACCATGTGCATATATAGTAAAGCGATAGCAGACAATCCTTTTGGGCGGGAATTAATTCAAACACGGATATCGGATACCAGTCGTGTCTAAAGTGAATGTAAACAGAGGGGTCAAAAGATCGGCTCCGTGCATTAAGACTTGCAGTGTAAATGCAGCCATAAAGACGTGTAATCACGTTCTTACAGTGAGGAGCAGGTAAGGAGTTGTTAATCTGAGCGCATGTGTGCGTGTGGTGGACAGGAGATGAAGGACACGCGGCACAGGCTGGAGACGCGTCTGGTGGAGGTGGACTCGGGCCATCAGGTGGAGTATGAGTTCAAGCTGGCTGCGGCGCTGGCCGATATGAGACCGCAGCACGACGAGCAGGTCCAGCTCTACAAGGACGAGATGGAGCAGACCTACACAGCCAAGGTGAGCGCGCACATTCACACGTCTGAGTTTCCTCCAGTGCTTCAGTTCCTCTGAGACATCTGTGTGTTTCAGCTGGAGAACGTGCGTCTGTCGTCGGAGATGAACAGCTCGTCAGCGAGTATGGCACGCGAGGAGCTGCGCGAGTCCACGCTGAGAGTCGAGAGTCTGGCCGCTCAGCTCGCTAACCTGCAGAAACAGGTGCGTCACTACACCACTGACGGCTTTCCTGCGTGACCTCTGACCCGCTTCCACACACTGGCCAGTTCCTCCTCTGCGTTCGCTCCTTACTGAGCCGGTTTGTCTTGAACAGCTCTGAACTCGATTTCTGAAGTGTTTCAGTGTTTGATTTTAAATTCAATTCAAGTTTATTTGTACAGCGCTTTTCACGATACAAATCGTTGCAAAGCAACTTTACAGCAAATGAAGTTTCTACAATATTTAGTGGTAGCTTATCAGTGGTGGCTGTCAGTTAATGTACATATGGCAGAAATGTACGGAAAAATCAGTTCAAGACGTAATCAAACAGACTATGAACACTATTAACAGCAATGATTATATGATGCAATCAAACTTATAGTTAAATGTGGTAGTTCTGTATGTTGTTTATGTTGTTTCATCATCTGAGGTCCTCTGAGGGGTTGGCATCATCTCTTCTCAGGTGTTCTGGATCCAGACTGAAGCTTGTGTAAATCCTAGTTACCACGGGATGTCAATCCCAGCAGAAACAGAGAAACAAATAGAGACATAATTAG